TTACTGTACACGTTAATTGTCACTTCTAATATTATAGTTATTTAATACAAACAGCTAATAAAAATAAGACTTAATGGGATTTACGTAGTATTTATCTCTGTTGAGTAAGACAGAGACGGACAGACAAGCAAAGGGGTTGTTGGGTTGAAGGTGGTATGTAGTGGTAGTATGTGGTATTAATCCAGGTTTACCATCCATAGATGGAACCACCATGATTGATTTTCATATTGAACGGTAATTTTCGAATAATCGAAATCCAAATGACTGCCATTTTAACTGTCATCTATCAACGCTATGTTTGACTGTCTTCTGTCATAAAAATATATACGGAAACTAAATACACATTTAAATACAAAATTTTAACGGTTTGAGACGCGTTATTTATTTGTTAAAATTATTTCAACTACGGCCCGACGTTTCGTGGTCACGGGGATAATTTTTATATAAATTAAACTAATATATATCGCGTTTTAAACCGTTTAAGTGTTTTATCTAAATACAGAGGCAACGCATGACAAATAATACAGAGGTCCCATAACTCGCGAACTTTAAATTGTGTTACCAAAATGCATAGTTTTGCGAAATATAATTCATAAAACAAAACACAGCGTTTGCAACTCTCAACCATTGAATTTTACAAATATTCCGTTCGGGCTGCGCGAAATAACAATTCATCACAATGCATTTGCAGCTAAAATTGTTACAGGCTCTTTTATTGTCCAATTTTATGTGTCTGTTATTTGTAATGTATTTTAGTTCAAATTATTCCATAAAGTTATTGTGATTTTATTTACCCACTTAACGGTTATCTATTTAAAAGGTATTCTGCTTGAATCCCAATAATCCACACAAACAGTATCGCTAGCAGAGCTAAATAGAAAGACTGTTTACTTCTTTGCAAAGTATCGTTTATTAAAATTCAATGTTAAAATGTTTTTATTTAAAAATTAAGATAGAATTGAATACATAGCAGCAGGTAGCATAAAACCATTACCTTACCGCCTATTGTCAAAGGTGGTGGTTTAATTAGTAACAATTATTGTCTGTATATTAGGCGAGTAGTACACATTTTAACAACTTTTACGGTTTTAAACGCGAATTGTATTAGTTTAACAATGGTCACCAAGAACCCACATCCTCGTGACCACAGTTGCTACAATGAATCCGAAACGTCGAACTGTAGTCAACATAAATTGTTAATAAGTTAACTAATACATTTCGCGTTTTAAACTGTTAATGTTTAATTCAGGTTAATTTCTATATCAATTCAATAAAGTATAGGTAACTGTTATTACGCTGTTATAAGCAGAATTTAAGATTAATTTTGATCGCCTATGTAGCTAAATGGTTAAACCTTATTGCTTCATTATAGGTCCCTTAGCATTAAAGGGTTTCAAATCCCGGGGAAACAGTAAATTGTTTCGGTCGGACAGACGGATCAGGGAAACGGACACAAAAATGTGTTCGTCCCTATGCCCCACGAGGGGAAACGGGATTTCACTTTTTTAAAAGACGATGTTAATGAAACATCTTTACTAAATAAATTAGCTTTTTCAATCTATTTGAATGCGAAATAAGTTCACATTTCGACAAAACCGTAATAAATTAACTGTAACGCACGAGGCCGAACGCCAAAGCATTGTATTCAAAAAGAAAATAGTACAAAAGCTCTTAAGAGCTGATTGTTTAAAATTGTAAAAGCGGTTCGGCCATTTTGTCCAATTCGGTTGGATTGTTACGCGCCCTCGATGGCCAACCCTCGTTTACCCAGACATTTGTCAGAATACCAACGAGTATAGAACGTGTAACGAACTGAGCTAAGTGTTTTCCATTGTCGTTCTTAGAAATAGTTAAGCTCAGAGCAGACCTACAGAGTACTCAACTAGGTATGAAAGTGGTTTCAAAGTCAAAACTTTATTGCCCTTTTACGCAGATTTTACAATATATTTAAAAATAGTAATTTGTAGAATGCGTAATACAAGCCATACTAATGTATAAATTTCAAGAGTTTGCTTATTTGTTTGTTTAAACGCGCTAATCTCAGGAACTACTTGTTGGAATTGAAACATTATTATTATATATATTTTTGTATTAGTTAGAACATTTATCGAGAAAAGATATATAGGCTGTAAATCATCGCGATGTGACTAATAGGAGCGAAGAAGCAATGGAAATGTGAAAAAAACGGGACAAATTTTTCATCTCTGATTCAAGATACCCAAAAAATATTTGTCAAAGAATGATTACTCTTTAAATGCTCTAAAAAAATGTCCGGGTCTATCTTTTACCATTAACTTGCAAGAACGACGGGCCGCGAACGGCGAGACCGATGTCGTGGGCAGGTTAAATTTATATAGATATAGAGGTTTGCAAAAACAAATTCGGTTGCTCAAAATAAGTATTCTACGCGGACGAATACTCAATATCGTTATCGACTCAATACTCGTTTATATAGCCATACATTTCTAAAAATTGCTCCCAAAAACATAAATAATAAAACGATATCTATACATCTAGAAAGACTTGATTTCTTTCTAACATCAGAATGAGATGTATAACAAATACAATAAATGTTGCAATTTCGGTACATCTCAATGCTATACCGAGATTTAAGTAGGAACGTAATAATCATAGCCAAAAATATATATAAAAAATATTTTTACAGTTGTTCGTATCCTACAGAAAATACAAAATGGATTTTTAATTTAAACATGGGGTAATAATCTCATCATTTCATTACGTCGCAAATTCACTGAAAAGAGATTCAAAAAATAAAATAACTCATGACATACAGAATATTCGACATCGATAATTTCTGCTGTTCCTGCCATTACGAAATGCTTTTAACGTGTTGATGCAACCGTAAATAAGAGATAAAACATTCTTCTAATTGATCGATGGGTAAGGCTTCTTACACTCTCTACTTGCAATTTACTGGTTTGAATTGAAAACGTTTTAAAATAACACTTTAACGGTTCAAAACGCGATATATTAGTTAAACTTATTTGGAAATGATTTTTAACTTCGGCCCGACGTTTCGGACGCTTTGCAGCAGCCGTGGTCACGGGGAGGCCGAAACGTCGGGCCGGAGAAAAAAATCATTTCCAAATAAGTTTAACTAATATATCGCGTTTTAAACCGTTAAAGTGTTTTAATTAAATGTGTACTACTCGCGTAAACTATAGACATTATTGAAAATGTTTGTGTTGGTTAGAGCATTTGTTGAGGGCGGCTATAGGCTATAAAACATCGCAATGTGACTAATAACAGCGAAAAATGTGGAGAAATGAGGAAAATTATTCATCGTAGTGACTTTCCGATCCGTACGCTGCAAAAAACGGTTTACAAAAAATGTTTTAATACACATTTTTACTTTTTTTTGTGTATCTTAAACCGTTTTGCATTTTGGATGACTACTCTGTAAATGATCGAAAAATTGTCGACATTAGTATATGTGTATCTTGCAAGAACGACGGGTCGCGGGTAACAACGAGTGTTCTACGCGGACGAAGTCGCTGACACAGCTAGTCACTAGTATAATTGCTAACTTCATTTGGTACATTTGTGTTGGATTCTGAATTATTTTAATATAATTAGGGTTAAATTTAGAATCCTTTTCGCATAGTCGGTATATAATTAGCAGAGCTATAATTATAAATTAGACGCACATGGCACACCGCTACGAGTAACGTACATTTATCCGGAATAATTAAAAGGCTTTCATCCCTGGCGGGCGCTAATGCGCGGATTTGTTTTAGTCCTTAATGTAGAGCAAACATGTTCTTAAGAGCACGGTAAACTATTACAGCTAATGACGTTTAATCTTATTTACCTCAACAAAGCTTAAAAACATTAATATTTTTTACATGTTATTTAGGTTAGAAATCGAAAATAAAATTATTTGACTCTGACAGGACTAGAACTGGCGTCAGCGTTCCAATTGAGCCAACGACTCCACTGGCTAGAGCAACAGCACCGAACGCTGATGACGCCAGTTCTAGTCCTGCCCGAGTCGAACATTTTTCCATTTAATTTTCGATTTTTAATCGTAACAAAGCTTTTTCAATATTTTTAGACATTTAAATAAAATACTTTAACGGTTTAAAATGCGATATATGAGTTAAACTTAATTGAAAAATGATTTTTAACTTCGGCCCGACGTTTCCGATGCTTTGCAGCAGCCGTGGTCACGGGGAGACCACGGCTGCTGTTTGTGCTGTGTGTGCTGTTAAATGTGTACTGCTCGCGTAAACTATAGACAGTATTTTTAGACATGTTCAACATGGTATTGTTGAAAATTTTAATATTTACTTATGAAAGACACGCTCATTAAAAATCTATATGATTGAAAAAAACCGAAGATGACATGTCTTCGTCTCCCCGTGACCACGGCTGCTGCAAAGCATCCGAATCGTCGGGCCGAAGTTAAAAATCATTACCAAATAAGTTTAACTAATATATCGCGTTTTAAACCGTTAAAGTGTTTTATTTAAATACCAAATTTTGTTAACACCTAGTTCAAAAATCCAGTTCCAAGATATTCCACTCGGGATTTCAAATACAGTTCAAAAGCTATTTCGAAGTATGCACTTAAATATCAGACTAGCTGTTTCAGATAAGTATGTACAGTAATAAACAATAATATATAATTTATTTCCCAAAACTAGTCAGTCGGGAATTTAAAGGTAAAGCCCGCCTTTGTCCTTTGATTTTTACGAGCTTATAAGAAAGAGAAGATAATTACGCTTTTAGACTATACTCGCAAGTGCGAAGACACCGTTAGTCTATTCTGGCAGGTGGCGCTAGCGTAGCAGTTTTTACTTTGACGACAGCGACAACCTCCCATCTTTACTCTCCCGTGACCACGGATGCTGCAAAGCATCCGAAACGTAGGGCTATTGTTGCATTTTTTTAAAAGAGTTAACCTAATATATATCGCGTTTTAAACCGTTGATTTTTTTTATTTCTACGGACTATACTCTTATTAATCTTAAACTGACCTGCGTATGCGGTTGTACGTGGACAGTAAGATGGGCGCGAAGTGCGAGGCGCAGTCGAAGCGTCAAGTGCCCATGAGCATTTGCAGCGCGACACGCCCAGCGCCCATCGTCGCTTAACTCAGCGCGCCGGATGCTCAAGGCATCGGCGCTCATGCTGTACCGTCCAGGTCCTTCACCCTCGCGAACCTCACGAAGACCACCTCCAGATGTCTCTCTATACCATCTATAAAAATCATAATATTGAATAATATTTAAAACAACTGCACTGGTTTGTAACGTGAATATATTTTTATTCTGTTTCAAACCGTTTTTTTTTGTATTTATTATATTCTTGAATATACAGACAATACTTTAGACACTTCCAGTACAAGTAAAAATAGACACTTGGGGCATTTCTGTCTTTGACATTGGTTTTTATTTTTGTTCATCGATATAAAGCACTTTAACGGTTTAAAACGCGATTTAACTTCGGCCCGACGTTTCCGATGCTTTGCATGGCGTGGTCTCCCCGTGACCACGGCTGCTGTTTGTGCTGTGTGTGCTGTTAAATGTGTACTACTCGCGTAAACTATAGACAGTATTTTACAGACAGTATATATTTTTGTTCGTTCTCGTTCCACTGTGAGTACATACATAAATATTTGATGGGCTCGTGTGTCTAATGGTAGTAATGTAAATATCATATGTAACATTCCATCAAGTGAATCCCGTGCTTGTCTATCCTCCACTTTCATAAAAAAAAATGAGTTAAAAAACACAGTTTTATAATATTGTCTCAAAAATCATACTTCTTCTTCAGCCATCTACAAATGTAATAAAATAACATTATGTTCCCTTTTGTTTTCAATAATAATAACTCATTCACATAATTACCTCCAGAAACTCAGTTCACGTCCATAACTAGGTACGTTCGCAGTTTTCATTCAAGTCACGTCTCGGTAAGCACAAATTGTTTTTTGTTACTCAAACCGTTCGTATTTTATAACGATAAACGAATTGGGAACTTATTAGATTGCATTTCGTTCTGCACAAAATCGATCGTCGTATTGACAAAGGTTGGATTTGCATTCGAAATTTGAATTTATGATTATCGGCTAAATACTAATTAAATGGAGTTCGAGAGCCATTCAAAATTATAGTCTGTGCTAAATAGATTAAAACTGTGCAAAGTTTTTGAGGTAGTCTATTATCGTTGTGTTAAAACAGGTTAAATTCTGTTAGTTTGTCATTCAGCCTAATCAATATATTTTGAATTCAAAAGTATGTTTGAGTAGATTGAACTTGATGAATACTTTTAAATAAAACACTATAAGGGGTTCAAACGCGAGACTGCTGCTGCAAAGCATCCGAAACGTCGGGCCGCAGTTAAAATTATTTTCAAATAATATATATTACTTAAACACTAATATCGCGTTTTAAACCGTTGAAGAGTTTTATTTAAATGTGTACTACTCGCGTATACTACAGACAGGATTTGATGAATACTCCCAAGTACACATCATTATTTATTATTTGAATTAACTGAAAAAGACCACTTTCGTAGCTCCGCTAACATTGCTTTAAGAGAGAAAAATCCTCACTTCGAACCCCTAAGATACAATGTTGTTTCGGTCGAACTAGGCACAGAAGTCAGATCAACAAATCCAAGCGCGAAAGGGACACAAAAATGTGTTTGACGTTGGCCCCAACGGCCGTTCGGGATGTCACTGCTACACTTCTTAATCGAATTCTAAATTTAAATTCTCCGATATTACTGGAAAAATTAATACTGTATGCTTATGTATAAATCTAGGTACTTGTTGTAGACCATATTTATTTTTCCCCGTGGCTAAAATTTAGGGCCACTTAGCTTCTAAGGCTGTACACAATAGGCGTGTGTTAAAGTTGTGTTTTTGCTCGTCAAAGCGTCACGCGCCAACGCCATCACGAGTTAATGAGACGGAAGGGGCAAAAACATCCCTCATTTGTCTCCGTTTGCACTTTTTGCTCTTCCCTTCTCTCGGGGGACGTTTTTACACAGCATTCAGCTGACTCTCTATGTGGTTTGGTTGGTCTGTAACTCAAAGAATGCCTAGCTAGCTAGCTTCTACACTAGCTTTTTTCTTCGGTGAAACTCGCAGGTAGTTGTAATTTAACTAAATAAATCGTAACTTAGTTATTTAGGTAATAAAGCCCGACATGTAATAATAAATCTGAAAAATTATTGGTTACTCTAACTATCGGTCTTCGACAGTCTTAGCGATTTAAAACGGAAAATTTAATTAACTTTTACATTGTCAACCATGATCCAACGTTTTCAGGAACCACGTCAATTTTGCGCAAGCAAACAAATATATTTCACTTTTTAAACCGTTGACTTACCGTTGTTTTATTTAACATTTTTACCAACAGTACATAAGTTTTATCTCAATAAATGTAGAATTCTTCTATTATTACATATAACTGGCTCGTTGGTATAATGGCAGCAATATAGGCTTATAATCAATGGATCGTGGTTCCAACCCCACTGCGTCCAACATGATACTAATTTATATTTTATTCTGAAGCCTGTTGAATTTTGTCTGAAAGCTACATACTATCAAATGGGTGGTAGAAATTTAAAAATTTCGATCGGGTCACAAGCGACCGTCCACGAATGAAAAAGCCCTGAAGTTTATTCGCGTTTCAGTAGAGGTCTGTTAATTTACGAATATCCAAAACCACAATAGGCCAACAGCGCATATTGTTCAGATGTTATATGGCTGTTGTGTCGATCCTCCTCTATAATTAAAAAATCACATATTAACCACTTTACAGAATACGACCACGTGTCAGAATTCCGTGCTAAACTCAAATGGTGGCCTATTATAATATTACTCCGACGTAACACTCACATCCTCTATCTTCTTTTCTCTATTCTATTTAATCCGCGCACTCCTACCTATCTTAAACAAATGTTTTTATTTATGAGTTCTTTCCATGAACTTGACCTTCGTTCCTCATACAACCGTCTCCTTTCTATGCCTGCCCTTTCATCTAAATGCTATGACTCTTTTTCTGTACAGGCTGTCCGCCTATGGAGTAAGCTGCCACCAGCGATTAGGCTCTCACAAATTCTTAACTCCTTCAAAGCCAAAGTCAAATAACGTTTTCTTCAAAGTATTGTTCAGTCCTGATTTTATTGGTTTATACTTTTATTATTTGTAAATTTGCATCTTTGTTTGATCTAAGTTTAATGCTAAGTTTTTACTTTTTAGTGTGTTAACGTTTTCTGTTGTGTTAGTATTTGATATCATTGTAATTTACAACTTATTGCACTTTCTCTCTCATTCTCGTTGGCTTTTATTCATTAATTATTGTTTTGTTTTTCTTTTGATGGTTTACACACTTTTAGAAGTTCTAAAATGACACTCGCGACATTAGAGGATAAGAAACTTACGCTTCAAGCAATAAATCTTGTAAGAATCGTCTATCATTTTATCGAATAACTTCAATATTTGGTCTATCGATATTCAGTGGCCTGGGGCGTCGTATGTCTAGTGTTGATGGTTTCGCTTCGGGCCCGCGTTACTTTTTATCGAAAACCGAATAAGATGAAAAATGTTATGCCTACAATTTTATCGAATGTACGACTACAATTTTCTCGTATATATCAAGATGAAAATGGGCTTTCTAGGAATACATTTTTCCTCTTTACTATTATAAAAACGAAGTGCCCGCGGCTTATAATAACAGGTTATAACTTTACAAGGCTTGATAATTCAAACAACTACAACAGCCATATAAGATGCGCTACCGACCAAATCGTATTTTTTATTTGTGAACATATTCCTACCGCCTGTTTATTTGTAACGATTTTTCAAAATCTAACATAACAACAAAATGATTGTCAGCCATACATTGGACCAAATAACTCCTCGAAAACCTAACTAATTTTAAGCAAAAAACCTACCTTCTTAGTCGTTGTGTTATTTCACAATGTTCCTGTAAACATACTACTATTTTGTACTTCAAACTAAGCTTATAATAAGCCTAAATAATAAAATTTATTGCGTTGTTGATTTCGTCTTTTTAAATCGCTGACACTACTTGTTTGTATAGTTTAAAAAGATGTACAGACAGACGATTGCTTCTTCGGTTTATTACAGTTGATAAAATTAAAAGCCTGTTACATATATATTTAGGAAAATATGTAATCTTTTAACCGTAATATCATTAGATAACGTTTTCGTTTGTATAAGAAAAATTCGATGAATCCTTCAGGGAAAAAAGGAAAAAAGATCTTTTCTTATCATGTAAGAAATTGACAATTGACATAGATATTAATTTGTTATTTTGACATTTACGCAACGTTACGTCTTTGATGGCTGGCCAAGTCATAATATTCTCTATATTTCATTCGTACATATCTATTTTATTAAGCGTAAGCTCGTTATATCGAAAACTTACTTACAGTGATAACACGGTGTATTCACTTGACGGTGCGCTACACATAGGTCGTGGAATTGAGTCTCGCTAGTGTAGATTTTTATTTATTTATTAGTTTTTATGATAGAGAAAAGACAACTAGGGAATTCGCTTGTTGGAAGGTGAAATACTTCAGCCATTTAACTTTTTAACAAGATGTGTTGTCAACCTATTTGGACTTTGCATTTTCGAAAATTGTGCGTTAAAATTTTATTTTAAAACAACATCAAATACTTTCAATATTATCAGAGATCTAAGTTAAATAATTGTGTAGGCTAATAGAGAGAATAAAATAATGTGGAATAGAAGAGTCTCAATAATTCTTTCTTCTCTTAAATTGGGGAAATATTTAACTTATCTCCTGTTCCATTTTAGTAAACAGAATGTGCTCTTTGGATAGAATCGTATTGATCCGAATAGGACCTCGTTATAAATTCAAGAACGTAAACGAGAATTTCATAGACGACACACGAGTCTATCAGTCACAATATTCAAACGCCACCAATTTCTGTGACCCCAATTTCCTATTCAAATCGCGTAATATTTGCTGTGCTTAGGTACAAGTTTGTGCGACGGGTTCGTTCGTAAACTCAGCATGCAGCAAAATTTCGTATTATATCTGGTAAGAATATTTGTGTGGGGACAGAAAAAACTCTATATACGTAAATGGTTTGTATACTTTATACTTTAAACAATTACAATAAATTTTAATAGACGCGGTGTCGAAGGATCGTGACTGATGACACAATATATAAGTTTAGTAAGAGCTATAATATTATAATCATCACGCTAAAATATAAGAATATCATACTACACAGGATAAAGTAGTCTGTTAGTCGAAAAAATTATATACAACACTTTCGAGAACAAAAGAAAAGATAGTATTTTTAAACAGTTTTATTAGGCTTGACCCGTACAGAATTTATTTATTTAAGTCAAAATTAGAAATTAAAATTTAAGTACCTTCCCGGTGTCAGATTGATCTGAAATTTGATAAACACATTAAATTTAGATGACAATACAATATAATAAAATCAATAACGTTATAAATCCAAGATGGTCGCCGATACAAAATGTCGGATTACATATTTTTCCTTAACCCCCTCAATATGGGTATCAAATGAAAGGGCTCCACTAGAAAACACGACGATTATGTCAAAATTTAAAATTTTTAGTAGTTTTCAGTGCACAAAAATAAAACTGTTTAACTTAAAAGTTTGTTTTTACACCATACTTGTAACTCTTTATGTAGTGCATTTAAAGAACGTGAATACTGTAAAATTAACTTTGCGATAAGAGGATTTGCGCCTAGTTTCTTTCAAGTTCTTCTCGTTCTCCTTCTCCTTGATTTGAGAACTGGTAGTAAATGTAAATTTGACGTTCATAAGTGTTATTATATTATTTATTATTGCCAATTTACCTACGCGAATAAATGATTTTTGAATTTGAAATTAAGGGTTTATAATTCTAAATCAAG